TGAAGCACAAATCAGAGACTGACACAACGTGAGTCAGGAGTGTCCGTGAGCTTCCCTGAGGTTTGAGTGGTCTGGGGGGTCTTGGTTTCGTTTTAGGAGAACTTGGGCTGCTGCTGGAAAAATCAGTAGGGAAGGGCTGAAAGAAAGGCAGAAATAGAGATTTCAGCCATAAATACTTCAGCAGCAGAAGTTTGTCAGTCACTGAACTTCATTCCCTGATAAAATTTTTGAATAGCAAAGAGCAACGCTGGCTTAAGCTTTTACACAACAGAAAGACTTTTTACCTCAGTAATCGTGTCTGTGGCTTGGTTATTCTTTAGATTTGTATGTGTTAAATGCAAAATAGCATTTGATAAATGGAAACTGCTTTGTGGTATTTAGGTGGATATTCCATAGGCTTTGTATTTTCCTCAGTGGCATGGCTGAATTCTGCACTAGCTTTCCTCAGTAGCTAATGCAGTCAGACACCATGCCAGAGCAAATTCCTTTTTCACTCTGCTTGGTGTGCTTTTCATATGGGAATGGGCATGCCCTTGGAAGGGGAATACACAATCCTTGTTTACTCCCAACACAACTTTGTGTTGGACCAGTTGCTCTGGCAGTTCTCTGAGTAGCCTGCACTTCCATGGAATTCATATCTTCCTACACATCCATTGACACACAAAATGTGGTTTTTTTAATCTTCCAGGCTGATCAGGGGGCTGGTTCTGGATCATGGTGCTCGCCATCCTGACATGAGGAAAAGGGTGGAAGATGCTTATATCCTTACCTGCAATGTGTCTCTGGAGTATGAGAAAACGTAAGTCCACAGCAGCGAGGTGAGGAGCAGAAAGTGCTCATGTCTTAAGGACTCTTCATTAACCTGTGCTTAAATCCCAACCAAAAGGACTGCACAGGTGTGGAAGGTGAAAGGGAAGAGGTGATGCCCCTTCTGCAGCCCTTTGGGAAAGGGGAAGCTGGGGGATGAAATAATGTCTGTGAGAGGCTGAGCTTTGTAGTGGTTTTTATTTTGTTGTTTCATTGAGGAAAGGCTGATAGTCTTTCCTTTCTTGGGCATAATTGGATATTCTACAGCAAACACTTCAGAGTTCTCTTAGTTTCAAGTGTCTGCCTTATTTCTTGTAGTGGAAAAGCTCTGAACTAAAGAGCAGGAAGAGCAGTTTGGGTTGAGGGGGGTCTTGTTTGTTTTGATTTGATTTCTTTAGAATGTTGCTGAAAAGATCAACCCTCCTGCTTGTTTCTACAGCAGAAAGGATAGTTTTCTTACTACTTTAGTGGTTTGTTTTTTCTCCTTCAGAGAGGTGAGCTCTGGATTCTTCTATAAAAGTGCTGAAGAGAGGGAGAAGTTGGTGAAAGCAGAACGAAAGTTCATTGAAGACAGAGTGAACAAAATCATAGACTTGAAAAGAAAAGTCTGTGGCGATTCAGATAAAGGATTTGTTTTGATCAACCAGAAGGTGAGATGAAGGGTGTAACTAAAAATTGGTTTCTTGGCCACCATGTGCTGTTTGACTCACTTGGTACAGAAATACCTGAATTTAGGCTGGTATTTCTGAATTTGTGTGTACAGTTCCTACTTGAGATACTCTGTGAGCCCTGAGGAAGAAATTACTCATTAGTGACAGACTGAGAGTGGGTGTTTTTAGCTTTTTCTTTATCCTGATGGTCACTTCCTTCATTTCCAGGGAATCGACCCATTTTCCTTGGATGCACTTGCAAAAGAAGGAATCGTTGCTTTGCGGAGAGCTAAAAGGAGGAACATGGAAAGGTCAGTTCCTGGGGAAAGGAGAGGGTAAAATAACCTCCTCTTCCAAACTGGGACAGTGAGTCAAGTCTGGCTTAAATCCAACGTCAAGAACTCGAACTAAAAAGTCCCCTTCAATCTGTCCAGCTCCTCCTGGTGTAACTCAGGGTAGTTTGTACACACTGTAGGTGTGTACAAAGGTCAGTTCAGCACACTGAGGGATGGGGGAGTTTGAGCTCTCAGTATGCTTCACATGTAAAAGAGACTTAATTCTACAAACTTATTTTTGTGAAGAGCTCTTTGACGAACAGAAGCAAACTCTTCCAGGCCTAGGAAGTGTGTCGTGCATGCTAAAATACTGCCCTTATGTTAGGGACTTCAGGTTTTACTGACCACAAAGCAAGTGCTGAGCTGTGTGTGTTCTGTGCCAGGCTGACCCTGGCGTGTGGTGGCACTGCCATGAACTCTGTGGAGGATCTCACTCCTGACTGCCTGGGGCACGCAGGGCTCGTCTATGAGTACACACTGGTGAGTACAACCAAGAGCTGTGCTGGGGTATTGAATTAAAGGCTGGTGGCATTTCACATCCCTGTGAACGTCTGCCTGGGTATTTGCTCTGGTCATGGTGTATTTTCTTAGTGTTGCCTGTAAAACTGAAAAAAAAAGAGAAAAAAAAGATCCTGCTGGTTCTCACCACTTCTCGAAGTGCTGTTAGTGCAGAACTGAACCTGATGAACACATCCAGGTTTTTTTTATTCAGTGTACAAATGGATAAAGCAAAGTGCCTGACAGGGATACACAACCCTGTTTCTCGCAGGGTGAAGAGAAATACACCTTCATTGAGAAGTGTGAGAACCCGCGCTCCGTGACCCTGCTGATCAGGGGCCCCAACAAGCACACGCTCACCCAGATCAAGGACGCCGTGAGGGACGGGCTGCGAGCCGTGAAAAACGCCATTGAGGACGGTGAGTCTGCTCTGGTAGGGATGGGAAGGATCTCCTGTGGAATCTGATGCCTTAAACCCCAATGGTTTTTTATTTTTTAGTATTTGTAAGACTTGTAAGTTTTGTAAGTAGGTTTGAAAAGCAGAAACCTTCCCTTCTTTGTCCCTGTCCCTATCCCTTTCCCTGTAGCACCCTTGTTTATACATTCCCTAACCCTCTTACCCCATTCTATGCTCCCTATATCAGCCCTACTCCTGAATCCAATAGAAATCTTTAGTCTTTTGTCAAGGCAAGGCCTAGACAGTTGACAGAACAGCATATCTGGGCCTAAACCACAGAGTGAAGTCAAGAATTAGGTAACTATGTACCCTTTGTGCTCTGATGATGATGAAGATGGGATGAATGGAGGGTCCCGAAATGCACCCCAGACCCATTTTAAGGGGGTGGACCCGGGGCGGTCCAGAGAAAAGGCCACGGGGTGGATACATCTGGGATTGGATGGATGATGTTATAAAATGTAACCTCTTGGGCACAGGGACACATACACGTCTTGTAACATCTAGTGCCTTGGCAAATAAACCCTTTCTTATCTCACCCCTAATTTACTGCTCCAGAGATTTTTTCAGCACCTAAATCCCACGGCAACAAATCTCACTGGAGAATTAGGGAATTCTGTATCACCCTCCTTGGTACCGCTGCAATCAGACCCCAAACCGAGTGTTACAGCTCTGCCACTTTGTAGTTTCCAAGTTACAGTTACAGCTCTGCCACCTTGTATTTTACAAGTATTTTACAGCTGTGTAATTACTCACCTGCTCAGGGACAAGCTGCCTTTTTAAGAATGAAGGAAGAGATCAAAGTGCACTGAAAATGAACTGTTTGAACGGGAGTAGGTGCTTGCTTTGGTTTGATATCAAGCTTTCTCTTGCAGGGTGTGTGGTTCCAGGAGCAGGGGCACTGGAGGTGGCAGTAGCTAATGCTCTTGTTAAGCATAAACCCAGCGTGAAAGGAAGAGCCCAGCTTGGAGTTCAGGCTTTTGCTGATGCTCTGCTCATCATTCCTAAGGTAAAGAAGTTCCTGAAATAAAGTGACATTAAAGCACATGCAGACCCATTGCTTTTCCTGCTGGAGGGCTCTTTAATTAACAACATGAAGTGATGAGTCTGTTCTGTCCCAGGTTCTCGCTCAGAACTCCGGGTATGATCCCCAGGAGACCTTAGTGAAGGTTCAGACGGAGCACGTGGAATCAGGGCAGCTCACTGGGGTGGATCTGAACACTGGTAAGGACTTCCTGAACAGTGGGGTGATGCTCTAGTAAAGAACCCGTCTTGGCTCAGCTCTGAAGAACAAAGTTGCTCTGAATGCAGAAAGTTTTACCCATTTCCATTAAAAGCTACACAAAAGCCTTGGCGGGTGTCCTGTTGCTGCAGTTGGGTGTTGTACTGCAGTGCATTCTGGTTTAGGGGTTTTTAGTGAAGATAAAACACGGGGTAACACTGTGTTGGAGGTACTGAGTGATACCAGATGTCAGCAGAAAGTCTCACTTTGTTGTGTGAACTGTGTTTAAAGATTGTTCCGCTTCTGTTGTAGGGGAGCCAATGGTGGCTGCAGCAGCTGGAATCTGGGATAATTACAATGTCAAAAAGCAGCTGCTCCATTCATGGTAAGGGTTACAGGATTTCCACTTGAAACAGCAGTGGCTGATCATTTAAATGATAATGTGGAACTGGGATATCCCAGACAGAGGAAGCTGCCTGGAAACAGGAAAATAAACCTCTGTCTTCTTGAACTATGTCAACATGGCAATTCTAACAGTATTTATTTACTGTTTCTAGCACGGTGATTGCCAGCAACATTCTCCTGGTGGATGAAATCATGCGAGCTGGGATGTCCTCTCTGAAAGGCTGAGTTGGATCTGCTGGTGGGATGGTGGCACCTCCAGTCGTCTGGAATGTCTCCAAGGAATCCCCCCCTGATGGCCATATCCTTGGCCCTGGTGGATTCCCAGCAATGGAAGTCACTCTGCCATAAGGGGCAGCCCCTTTGGTAAACATGGCCACTCAAAATATTATCAACTTAATCAAAGATTTGGCTCTAAAAATGAGTTATTTATTTTTGATTTCACTGAAGTGTACGGCTGCAGTTGCTTTCATTTTTACCCAATAAACTGTTCTGTTCTGTGCTTTATGTGTTGTGATTCTTTCAAACTTCACCTCCTCCTGAACATTCTGCTTCCTGCCTTCCCAGCAGTGATGGGCTGTATTCCTGATTCCTGCTCTTGGGAGTGCTGTCAAACTACTGCTCAAGGGTCTGCTGTGGGAATAGGGTGGGATCAGACCTGGGATTAAGGCAATCACTTAATAGTTTTGTACTTGCTTATGAATCAAACTGAGTTCACTTACTGGAGAATGGGTTGAAGTGGGTGGAAGGAAGGACCTGTGCAAGGTTGTCACCCTTGTCACAACAGAGGGGTGAATTTTTAACACTGATACTGATGCATTAATGTATTTATGGATGGGTACTAGAGCAGGTCTAGGCAGAGCTGCAGTTTAAGATCGGGATTAGGGGAGGGGAACAGCCCCCTGCCCTCCTAAATGATTTTCCCTAATCCCAGTGCTGCTTTGTGTTAACAGACAGGAGTCTCCTTCCTCACTCACGTGGCTGCTGAATGACCATAAAAGAAACCTTAAAAATCAATAACCCACCACAAAAAAAAAAACCCTCAAACACTAAAAGAAGCCCCCCTTGCAAGCCTGGGTGGAGGGGTTTGCGGGTGGTCCCGGTGCCAGAAGGCGAAACGCGTTTTAACCTCTGCGTTTGTAGTTGCTGGAGAAGGAAATGCCCCTTTTCTTACAGAACGGGCCATCCACGTGGGGCAGGGCCCGGAAGCGCTTCCCGAGCCCGCAGCACCTCCGGGTCGGATCCCCCGGGATGGCCGGGGCGGCGGGGCCGCTCCTGATCCTGCTCCTGGTCGTGCTGTGCTGCGGGGCTCAGCGCGGTGAGAGCCGAGACCCCCGCGCAGCCACCCCTGCCCTCCACCGAGCTCCCTGCCCATCCTCCCCCGCGAGCGGAGCCACTCCCTGCCCGACAAACACTGAAAACGGGGCTTGGAATGTTTTAAACCTTGTAACCGAACCCCCCAGACCTGTAGAAGCGCCGATCGCAGTCGCTGCGGCAGCGCACCCCCCTCCAGCACGAACATCCAGGGGTGTTCCCGCAGGAGCTGCGCTTGAAAATTGAACTTCTCGTGCCGAATCTCTTCCCCTTTCAGCTCCCGGGAAGGATGAAGGCATGGTGCAGCTGCCCGGAGGGACGTTCCAGATGGGATCCAGCTCCCTGGAGAGGAGGGGCGAGGAGGGGCCCGTCAGGGAGGTGACGGTGAAGCCGTTCGCTGTCGACAAACACCCCGTCACGAACAGGGATTTCAGGTGAGAGCGAAGGCTCTGCCGGGCGAGCCCTCGGTGCCTCGGGTGGCTGAGGGGAGGGTGCTGCTCTGGGTGTGGGTGCCGGGTCCTTTGGGGCTGGTGCCTGCGGCTTGAAAGCCAACGCTTGGGTGCTCCCAAAAAAATGTGTCTGTCAGTAATAAATAACCCTACGAGTGCAGGCCAAAGCATCTTACCAGTGTACCTTGCAAACATCCTTCCTTTTTTTTATCCTTTCCTCCTCTTTCTTTCCCCTTGTTCCCTTCTCTTCCTCTTTCTTCTCCTCATTCCCCTCCCCCTTTTTCCTCTTATTCTTCTCCTCTTTAGCCTCTTCTTTTTCCTCTCCTCTTCTTCCTTCTCTTCTTTTTCTCCTCCTTTTCTCTTCATTTTCTTCCTTTTCTCCCCCTTCTCTTCTTTCCCCCTTCTCTTCTGCCTTTCCTTCTTCCTTTTGTCCTCCTGCTCCTCTACTTCTCCTCTGCTACTCCTCTTCCAAACACATCTATTTTTTGTGTATGTGCCTCTTTTTTACTAATAGGGCCGTTCTACTTCAGGTTTCAGGTTCCTGTAGGTTCAATTCCCATTTGTAAATACCAGACCACTCCATGAATTTTATCAAAGCCCTTGTACAGAGCACTAATAAATGCACTGGGGGAAATGCCTTTGCTTGCCTGGCTGAGCCCTTGTTGGTTAAAAACACTTCCTTGCACCAGAAACTGCCCAGTAATGGCAATTATTGCAACTTAGGCAATGGGGAAACAAATGGTGTAGAAGCAGAGTGAGATTGTTCAGTAGTATGTGACATTTTTTTGCATTTTGGGGGCATTTACAACAGCATCTGCAGGTTTTATTGGCTTTTAAGGGATTTTGAATCTCTGCAGTTGTTACATGTTATGGAAGACCTGAGTGCAGGGTGAGTTTACCTGCACAGGTAACATAAAAATGATCAATCTGTGAACAGATGCATATTGAATGGTTTTATCTGTTAGATCTATATGGTTTTTCTGTTAAATCTGTATCAATCCATATGGAACTGTGCTGGGGAGGAGCCAGGACTCTCTGGAGCTGGGGTGTCTGTGGGTCATGTACCTTTTGCCTTGCTCTGAACTTGCTGCATGCACACATTGCTGTATTTGGTGGTGCAGCACTTGAAGATCTCTTACCCAGAAGCCTGAACACGTTGTATTTATGGCAGGGAGTTTGTTAGAGAAAAGAAATACAAAACAGAAGCAGAAGCGTTTGGCTGGAGCTTTGTCTTTGAGGATTTCGTGTCCGAGGAGCTGAAAAAAAAAGTCACCCAAAAACTGGAGGTAAATCTAAACCCCACAGGGATGAGTTTCAGTGATGATGGGTTTGCTTTTCCACTGAGGAGCAGGTGCCTCTCAGTGCAGGGCCTGGCTGTTCTCAGGGGTTTTTCTTTAGTCTGGGGTGGTTTTGCTTTTGAACCTGACAGGGTTTTGAACCCCAGGCCGAGCTGGGGTTGATTCCTGGTGCTCCCCTGTTCACATCCTCTGTGAGCGCTGTCAGAGCTGCTCCAGGGAGCTGTGACAGAGCAAAGCATGTCTCAAAGTACTTCAATAATCAAACTTTAAACAGAAAAACTAAACCAGCACGAGCCTCTTGATCTATTTTCACTCTTAAAATCAGATGCCTGTGCTCTGTGGGAAAGCACCATCCCAATGCCTGTGATAACCCAGCTCAAACTGCAGCTTTGACCCATTTCCAGACTAACACACGCTGCTGTGGGACAGTGTCAGGGGGTGTCACCAGTTCAGGTGTCACCAGTTTACCTTTAATCTGGTGGTGTTTCTTTCCCCAGTCGGCCCCGTGGTGGCTGCCCATCGAAAAGGCTTTTTGGAGACAGGTGAGTGAAAAACCTGCTGTGCTGAATCCTCTCCGTGCTGGGAGCTCGTGTGTGTGTCAGCGTGTGCTGAACCTTATCGACCGAAAATAGGGGGGGGGGGGCTGGAAAATAGCAGCTCTGCTGCATTTTCCATCCCTTCACCTCCTCCACCCCCCCCAGTCCCTTTCTAATTGAAAATTTGATATGATCATTTCAAATCTGCTTGCTGCAATTCTTCCCAGCCCTCAGGCCCTGGCTCCAGCATAAAGGACAGGCTGGATTACCCGGTGCTGCACGTGAGCTGGAATGATGCACAAGCTTTCTGTGCCTGGAAAGGGAAGAGGCTCCCGACAGAGGAGGAGTGGGAATTTGCTGCCAGGGGAGGACTGGAGCGTATGTACCACAAGCTCTGACCCTTTTCCAAACCAAGACACTGAGTAGTGTTAGTTCCATCAGATCCAAACCTCCATCCTGGGATGTTTTCACGGGTTAACAGGGGGGAGAAAAGGGACAGGGAGGAGGTAAACCACCTCTTTTGGCCTGGGAGTCTAATAATAATAACAATAAGTAAATAATTAAGATGTTGCTGATTCCCATCTCTCCTCGCTTCCTTGGCAGTGTCTGTAGGGATTAGACCCACAAGCCCCGTTCATATAATTATAAAACCAATCATAAAAGCCTGGTTAAAAACTGGAGTGACACAGGAGTAACAGGTGTCTTTTCCTCCTTGGCAGAAAGGCTGTATCCCTGGGGAAACAAGTTCCAGCCAAACCGTACAAATCTGTGGCAGGTGAGATCCTAAAAATCATCCCATCTGTGCTGAGCTCTCCTGAGGGTGGTGGTTAACTCGACCACTGCACTGGCTGCTGGTGCTGGGGAGCACTGGGGACTTAATTGCAGAGTACTGAAACTCAGCTCCTGGTGGGTTGTCCAAAATACCTTTAGAGAGAGCAGGGTCACCCCATCTTCCCTGGGAAACCAGGATTTCAGTGCTTCTTAAAATTCATACATAAATTTGTTTGAGAAGGGGGTTGTCTTGGGAGAACTTTAGGTGGTTGATCTCCTTTGGCCAGAAATGCTGTGTAAATTTGCAACAGAGAGTTATTTGCCTAATTTAAGTGCGACACAGCCCCGTGAAAAGCAAGATTTTATGTTGTTTCTGTGGTGGTTCTTTGCTTGGAGTGATGTGTGTTCCCCCAGGGCGATTTCCCGCGGGTGGACACGGCTGAGGACGGTTATCACGGCGTCTCACCAGTGACAGCATTTCCCCCTCAGAACAGCTATGGTACATCCTCCCCCTGCTCTGGGGGATCTGCTTCCTAAATCAACACTTGTTATAAAATCCTGTAGTTGTGGCAGAGTTTCAGATGTGACGTGGGATCACAGCAGCATCTTGATGGAATAGCTGAGCCCAGAAAAGCATTGCTGGTTGGTGCTGAAGTTGGCTGATGTGCACCCAGTGCACTCCAATGCACCAAACCATCCCCTGCTTTTAATCAAAACTTGGTTATTTTCCAACTCAGTGTGATGTACCTGAAAATCCCCAGCACACTGGAGGGCAGTGGATGCCATGCCCTCACACAGATGGGAAATGATGAGAAACATTAAAGGCCCAGTTGTAAACTGGGGCCAGTTTGGAACATAGTAAAGACCTTCTGGTTCCCAGTCTCACTGTTAAACCATGCTCTTGCAGTGATGGTTTGAATGTTGTGCCCCCTCTCGCACCCCAAAGTGCTTCTGCAGCCCTCACAAATGTGCTCTTGTAATCCTGACACAAAACCATCCCTGTCTCAGGGCTCTACGATCTGCTGGGAAACACCTGGGAGTGGACGGCGTCGGAGTTCCTGGCTCCGGGAAGGCCATCCAGGCAGGGGGCTCAGCACATGCAGGTCCTGAGAGGGGCCTCGTGGATTGACACTGCAGATGGGTCTGCAAACCACAGAGCTCGTGTTACCACCAGGTAGGTCTGGGCAAGGCCCAGGTGCTGCTTTGCAGGGATTTCCTCTGGCCTGGTTTTATTTGGAATGGAGGTTTGTTTTGGAAGATAATTGTTTGTTCCTGCTCAGGTTTTTTTGAGAAGCAGTTGGGAGAACACACTACAAATACTGCTAAAACTTTCCTGCTATAAATCCAGCCCTAACTGCTTCTCAAACCATGAGTGTTTTCCATCGTGTATTTAGAATTAAATGCTTTTCTTGAAGTTATTCAAAAGAAATGGAAGATGTTTCTAGTCTGTTACAGCAGCTCACATTAAATGATCTAAGTGTTAACTAGGAAGGGTTAATTTGGGGTTTCTTTTTCACTGTTGAGAATGGGGAACACACCAGACTCGGCCTCTGACAACCTCAGCTTCCGCTGCGCTGCCGACATCCCGCCTGTCACAGCCTGGAAAAGCCGGACCAAACCCGAGCTCTGAGGGGTCACTTGGGAAGACCTGAGGCATTTTCTCCTGTGGAGATGATCACTAACCCCCAGCTGTCAATTCCATTAAATCCTGATGGTTTTAAAAAATTAAAAATAAATACTTTCAGCTATAACTCCTTTGGGCACTGGGATGTCTGGGTGGGAGCAGCGACTGGGAACGGCAGGCAGGCGGGTTTGTCTTTAGGATCCATTTGGTGTGGTAGATATTCCAGCTCTCCTTTTGGTGTCCTTTTTAAATAAGCAGAGGGGTGTATGTGTGTGGGACCAGGCAAGAGCTTCTCTGACCTCCAGCCCCACCCACACCCACAGCCCCCCTGTGGTGTATGTGGGGCTGCCATGAGAGGCAGCTCCCAGGGGGGAAGTGATGGGGGCACATCCCTGGAATGGGGATTCCTTCATATATCAGTCTCCATCCCCCTCAGGAAGTCCCAGCTTCAACCACCTGCTGAGCCTTCCCAGAAATAAAAAGAGACACCTTTATTGACCCTTGAGCAGTGACAAAATAACGTGTTTGCTGGTTTCTAAGTGCACAGGTGTCACAAACCAGTGACCCACCTCTCCCAGGTGTTACAGCCAGCACAAAGGCTACAAACTGTCTGTGCACGAGCACAGGTCCCATCAAACCTGATGGGACGAGGAGCCCCAAGCACATGGGTGGGCAGGGATACCACTTAGGGCACTGCTCATCACTCCTGCCCCTCTGACTGTCCCAAAAGGATCATGCTCTGGTGCTGGGCTTTGCCAAGGGCTGAGCCTTCCCTGTTGGGAGCTGCAGCTGGTTATGCCTCTATTAAAAAGTGACTTCTCCAAACCCATTCTTACAGTGGGACGAACCCCAGGGGCAAATCACAGCTGGGTCGGCATTTGCACCTGACCCGAGGCCAGCGAAAGAGAAGGAAAGAAAAAACGAAATCCCCACTTTGTTTCCAGAGATTTTACTCGCCTATCGAGAGCCAAATCACAGGCTTCCACAGGGTGATCAGAACAGCTCTTCCTCGGCTGCCAGGGTCAGCAGGATGGCCTTGCAGGTGTTCTCGAAGAGGGCAGCCCTGTTCTGGGCCTCCCCCTTCTTCACCCAGTGCCGGTAGGTCCTGAAGGCACAGGCATCGATGAGCTTCCGGACGGGCTTCAGGGCGTAGGGGTCGCGCACCACGAGCTCCCTGGTGACCGACTTCACCAGCCGGTACTGGTAGTAAATTCGGACTGAGGCCAGGACGGTCAGGCAGATCACCTGCAGCACAGGGGGACAGGCTGGGATCCCTGGGCACTCCTACAACACGGCCAGGTCGGCCCCAGCGTGTCCCATGCGGCCACTTATCCGTGTGGAGGAGTTTGGGGGAGAGCCCGGCTCCTGGCACAGGAGTTTAGTCCATGAGGGGCTGGCAGAGGGCACGGATTTGTGCCAGGGAATCATAGAATGGTTTGGGTTGGAAGGGACCTTAAAGCTCATCTTGTCCCAGACCCCTGCCATGGGCAGGGACACCTTCCACTAGACCAGGTTGCTCCAAGCCCTGGCCTGAACACTTCCACAATTTCTCTGGGCAACCTGTGCCAGGGCCTCCCCACCCTCACAGGGAAGAATTTCTTCCTTATATCTAATCTAACCCTGCTCTCTGTCAGTGTGAAGCTATTCCCCCTTGTCCTGTCACTCCAGGCCCTTGTCCGAAGTCCCTCTCCAGCTCTCTTGGAGCCTCTTTAGGCACTGGAAGGGGCTCTGAGGTCTCCCTGAAGCCTTCTCTTCTGCAGACTTAACAACCCCAGCTCTTATATAATGGTTTTTTTGGAGGTGAGGCAAGTTTTTCCCTTCTCTTATTTAACCCCATCCTGTGATAAAGCCCTTAGGAAGTACCAGTACACTGAAGTGCTTGGAGAGCAACCCTCACCCAGGCCGCCGCATCCTCCCAAAGCCCAGCTCCATCAGCTTTGCTGAACTCCCAGTTTCTCTCTGCTCAGCTGGGAAACCCCTCCTCCTGCTGGCTCCTGCAGCTCCCAAGCTCCTCCTCACCTTGAATTTCCGGAAGGGGCTGAAGTGCCGAACCTCCTCCGCGTCGTACTGCTGGAAGAAGGGGTGTGCCAGCGCCTGCCCAGCCGTGTACCGCTGCCGGGGGTCCACCACCAGGAACCGGGAGATCTGCAGGGGGACGCCCAGATGTATCCCAGGTGTCTGCAACACCCCCCTCCACTCCGATTTTTCCCATCCCAAGCACCTACCAGGTCCTTGACAGTGTCGGAGCGGTCGTCCCACTCCGGGGAGCTGAACTGGTAGTCCCCGTTCATGATCATCCGCAGCATCAGCATCTGCTTGCGGTGCCAGAAGGGAGGGGAGCCGGCCAGCAAGGTGTACATGATCACCCCGGTGCTCCACCTGTGGGCAGCCCAAATTGAGCCTCCAGCCCCCCATGTGGCACCCCAGTGGTGGCTACACTTGCCTTTGCCTCCCTGGAAAACCAGGAGGAAACTGCCCTGGGTGGTGTCGGTGAGGGAGGCTGAGCTGCTGCTGAGGCTTGTTAACTCTGAGGGGTGATGAGGAGCAGGGGCTGCCCTGCTGCTGGGGAGGGGTTTGAGCTGAGCTGATGTGGAGCTGCTCCCTGGATGCTGCAGGACGAAGCTGAGAGATGGAGGTATTTGCCTTTCTTGGGTTTTTTAGGGGAAGGAGAGGATGTGGGAGGGTGGGATGCAGTGGTGCTCTGAGATGTTCAGCTCAGGCTGTGCTGTGCAAAGTGTCCTGCCATGGCAGTTAACAGTGATATTTAAACTGGAAAGGAACTGAAATGCCCTAGTGTGTTTTGAGTGCTTGGTTACGGCTCTGAGCACTGAGGACCTGAGCCTGAAGCCGCCAGAGATGGTGGCAAAGTTCCTGTGGGGCTCTGAAAGGCTGTCCTGAGCTGGCTGCTCTCCCAGGGGCTGCCTCAGGTTCATGTGTGTTTAAACAAGGTGTGTGATGTGTCTTGGAGCTCAGCTGAGTTGACTTCTATGAACAGAAGGTGTTGCTTTGCTTCCTCCCTGAGAGGGCAAAGGCTGCTTCTCCCCCTGCTCTGTGCCTGAGCTCCCTGGTCACCAGGACAGCCCCTTGCAGCTGCCAGGGTTGTTATTTAACTCTTTTCAAACACTCTAATGGGTTCCTATTGGCACAACTCTGGCTCTGCCTCAAACCAAGGGGAGGTGTGGGGGCAGCATCTTACTCACATATCGACCTCCTTCCCGTAGCCTTGGTGCTCATCATCCATGGAGCACTGCAGGATCTCGGGGGCCAGGTATCCAGGTGTGCCACAGATCTCTGAGGAGACAGGGCAGAGCATCCCCCTGAGCCATCCAGGGGGTTTGTGCCACCCCATCCACCCCTGAGCAGTCAGTGAGGGGGAACTGGATCCCAGGTGGGATCTTTGCTGTGGGATGGTCAGTTATAGTGGCTAAAAAGCGAGTGAACAGAGGGATGGGGATGCTGCTGGGAGGGAATGACTGTTGTTGGATCTCTGGCTCTTTGCAGGTAGGAGTTGGGGGGAAAAATGTTGGGCAGTACATGGATGGGGTAATGAGGATCAACTCATTGATGGAGGAAAAAAGACATGGAAAGAATAGGATGGTTTTCCTAAGGGGCAACAACTTTTTCATGGCAAGGAGAGTGTGGAGGCTGAGGGCAGGCAAAACTTGTGTGTGAGCAGGAGAGCACCCCAAGACCAGCACCAGTTTGCACCCATGGCAGAGAGACTGGCCCAAAGAGACAGTGGGGCTGGAAGAACTCCACTGACTCCCATGGGCACTGCAACAACATTCCAGCATCACCCTCACCTTGCCATCCTCCTACCTTTGAGCTTCTCATTCTCGTTCAGCTGGCAGGAGAAGCCAAAATCTGTCAGCTTAATGTTCATGTCATCATCCAGGAGGATGTTCTCCGGCTTCAGGTCCCGGTGGACGATGTTGATGGAATGGAGGTACTGGATCACTTCCAGCAGCGCTCGCATGATCTTCCTGGGGATGGATGGCAACACATGTCCTATCCCAAATGCACCACGCTCCCAGGGATGGGGATGGGGAGAGGGACACAGCACAGGAGCACAGCCTGGGGTGCTGTTTTGTCCATGGGTGCCGTGCTGGCTGCAGGGTTGTCCCTCAAAACCATGCTGTGCTTTTGCAACATGATTTTCAGCCATCTGCATCTGGCCTTACCTGGTTTCTTTCTCGCTCAAGGTGACTTTCTCGGTGAGGTAGTCGAAGAGCTCCCCTCTCTTCATCCTGCACGAGGTGGGGGAAACAGAGTCAGGCAGTGGCTGAGCTGTAATGGCAAACCAGGGCGGTGGCACCCAGGGATTGCTGCCCCTTAACAACCCAGGGCACCCATTGCACAAAATAAGGAGCTGACTTGTTAGTAA